GCCTCTTGTCCTGAATTCAAGGCCTGCTTGGCTGGCACTCTAGCATTTGAGTGATGCTTCCAGCCTATCCTTTTGCTGGCTAATTAAAGATAGGAGTTTCAGAGGCATTACTGCTGGGGTTAGCTTTGAATCCTGAACTTTCAGATCTCAGCCTCCTGAGTATCTAGGATTACAGGTGTGAACTGCCTGTAATCCACATTTTATATAAATATTTGTGTAATATGGGTTCTTCTATGAATAATCCTTTTACAATATACTTTTTCTAAGTAAAATGTTTTTAAGTTTAACTATATTAGAAAAATTAGCACTTTCTTCATTCTTTTTAACTAACAAATAATATTCTGCTATACAGGCCATGTTTTGTTTTGTTTGATTTAACCTCTTTTCTTGCCTATTATAAATAATACTGCTTTGGAGATAGACCCAAATACAATAGTAGCAGGGGACTTTAATACCCCACTCTCACCAAAGGACAGGTCAACCAACCAGAGGACAAGCAAAGAAGCCTCTGAACTAAATGATACCATATTCCAAAAGGGACCTAACAGACATCTACCTAGTTTTCCACCCAACAAAAACCCAATACACGTGCTTCTCTGCAACCCATGGGACTGTCTCCAAAATAGAGCATATCATAGTTCACACAAAGAATCTAAACAAATACAAGAGGACTGAAATGATCCCGTATGTTCTATCTGACCATAGTAAAATCAAACTAGTTTTCAACACAAAGCATTCTGCAGAAATTACTCAAATATATGGAGGGTGAGCAGCACACTACTATTTGTTCTGGGTCACAGAACAAATTAAAGAAGAAAACAGTAAGTTCCTACAATTCAATGAAAATACATCACAACAGAACCTTTGGGACACAGCAAAAGCAGTCTTAAGAGCAAGTTCATTGCTCTGAGTGTATACATCAAGAAAATAGAAGCAGCTCAAGTACATAATCTCATGATGCAACTAAAACTGTTAGAAAAGCAAGAAAAAAAATTGAACCTAAAGTTACTAGGTGGAGTGAAATAACAAAGGGCAGAAATTAACAAGATAGAGATTAAAAACTATAAAATTAATGAAACAAAAATCTGGTTTTTTGAAAAAAAATCAATAAAATTGAGAGACCCTTACAAGATTAACCAAAAAAAGAAGAGAGGAGACCCAAATCAATAAGAACAGGGATGCCACAGGAAAAATTACAACAAACACCCAAGACATCAAATGATCATAAAGAACTATTTCCAGAATCTATACTCACTTAAGAAGGAAAACCTAGCAGAAATGGACAAATTTCTAGAGAAATACAAATTGCCCAAACTGAACCAAGAAGCAATAAATCAACTAAATAAGACAATAACTTACAATGAGATAAAGGAAGCAATTAAAAGTCTTCCAATAAGGAAAATCCCAGGTCTGGACAGATTCACCATGGAATTCTACAAGACTTTTAAAGAGGAACTAATACCCATACTCCTCAAGCTCTTCCATGAAATAGAAGCAGAGGGAGCAATCCCAAATTCATTCTATGAAGCCAATATCACACCCAGAAGAGGTACAAATGGCAAAGAAACCCATGAGGAGGGGCTGGGAAGATTGCTCAGTGGTACAGCGCTTGCCTTGCATGCATGAGGCCCTGCGTTTGATTCCTCAGCACCACATAAGCAAAAAGAAAAAAGCCGGAAGTGGCGCTGTGGTTCAAGTGGTAGAATGCTAGTCTTGAGCTGAAGAGCTGAGGGACAGCGCCCAGGCCCAGAGTTCAGGCCCCACAACCGGACCCAAAAAAAGAAACCCATGAGGAAATGTTCATCATCCCTGGCCATAAAGGGAAAGCAAATAAAAACAACTCCTTACCCCAGTCAGAATGGCCTATATCCTAAATTCAAATGACAAATGCTGGCTGGAATGCAAAGAAAGAGGAACCCTACTGCACTGCTGGTAGAAATGTACACTAATACAACCACTCTGGAAAGCAGTCTGGAAGGTCCTCAGAAAATTAAACATAGACCTTCTATAGCCATACCACTCCTAGGCATCTACCCTGAGCAACAGGAACCAAGAGACAAGGACACATGCACCTCCATATTCATTGCTGCACTGTTCACAATAGCCAAGATATGGAAACAACCCAGATGCCCCACTACAGATGAATGGCTCCATAAATTGTGATATCTATATACAATGAAATATAACACAGCTATTAGAAAGAACAAAATAATGGAATAATGACATTCACAGGGAAATGGATGGAACTAGAACAAATCATGCTGAGCAAGGTAAGCCAAGATCAGAGAGACAGATGGTACATGGTCTCCCTGATACACAGATGTTAAGACAAAGTAAACAGGACTCAAGAAACAACGGACTTCTTCTTAATCTGTCATATTGTTTTTAGAATACTCTATGTTGTTGACCTCACATATGGTATATACATGGGCACATATGAGGGAAGCTAGGAGGAGGGAGCAGAATCAGAGGGAAACAGGTGAAAAAATACAGCAGAGGGGCCCATCAGCTGCACTGGACATTGATGAAAGTGAGCTAAGCAACTCAAGGGCATTGATGGGAGGGTGGGAATGAGAGAGAAAAAGGGAACAGCAAAAGGAAAGAAATGTATGTATCACCCAATTTGGAAGAAATTGTTGTATTGTCAAAGTCTGTAGCATTAACAAGCTTTATAGACCTTCATAATGACAATTCACTTTGTGAAGGTTAAAATGTGTTTGTGACTTTAGCTAAGTATCAACTATCCCACAATAATTGTAAAATTTATGTAATCACTAAATCTCAATAAAGAAATTTTTAAAAAATAAGATGTGATGAGAATAAAATAAAAATTTTATGTAGTTTCACAAATAAGTGTGATGTTTATTAGTTTTTGGTAGTTATACTTACTACTGTTGCATAGAATTGATACTGTATATTTGTGTATACTGAGTATAATGTATGCTGTTGTAGTCACATGCTAAAATGACTACTGTTTTACTTTTTTTTTTTTTTGTCGGTTGTGGGGCTTGAACTCTGGGCCTGGGCGCTGTCCCTGAGCTCTCCAGATCAAGGCAAGCACTCTATCGCTTGAACCACAGCACCACTTCTGGTTTTCTAGTGTTTTATTAGAGATAAGAGTCTCACAGAGTTTCCTGCTCGGGCTGGCTTTGAACCTTGATCCTCAGATCTCAGTCTCCTGAGTAGCTAGGATTACAGGCATGAGCCATGGGCACCCGGCCTGTTTTACTTTTTTATCTGTTACTGTGGTAAAACAATAACATCTGTTGGAAAAAAAAAAAAAGAATGGAGCAAAGATGGGCTGGGAAGTTCGCTCAGTAGTAGAGTGCTTGCCTTGCATGCATGAGGTCCTGGGTTCGATTCCTCAGCACTACATAAGCAGAAAAATGCCGGAAGTGGCGCTGTGGCTCAAGTGTGGTAGGGTGCTAGCCTTGAGCTGAAGAGCTGAGGGACAGCACCCAGGCCCCGGGTTCAGCCCCCATGACCCAGAAAAAAAAAAAAATGGAGCAAGGAAACCTGTTGGGGCTGAATTTTTGCTGGGTGGAAGGCAGAAGGAGTGATAGAGGGGTGTAATTGATTGTAATACAGTGTAAACTTGTATATAGATGTAACAAACTTCCCATATAATTAATATAAGCTAATAAAAGTACTAAATAATAATAATACTGCCTTGGGCTGGGAAAGTGGCCTAGTGGTACAGTGCTTGCCTAGCATGCATGAAGCCCTGGGTTCAATTCCTCAGTACCACATCAACAGAAAATGCCAGAAGTGAGCTCTCAGATTGCCAGGAACTGCTGACTGCGCGGGCGCTGGTACCTGGGTCCTGTGGATCAGCTCTGTTTCCAGAGGCCTCCGTGCAAGCTGGAGCACTGACCTGACCTCTTCCCAGATGGAAGGAGAGACACCCCCCTGGGCTGACTTGTCAGGTTCTTGGACTGAGTGATAACTGATAGTGCAGGAGAATCCTTGTCCCCAGGCTCTGGGTAATGAATTTCTGATTTTATCACCCACTGCTTAATTTTCCCTGTGGTTGAACTTCATGTATATGAAATCCTACCGTATGTATGTATACTTTCATACCTAGCTTATTTCACTCAATGGAATTATTATTTGGGGGAGAGGGAGGTTGAGTCAAGTCTCATTATATAGCCCAGGCCAGCCTTGAACTTGCCTCAGCTGCTTGAGTACTGGAATTATAGAACACGAAGCTTAGAGATTTATGTGTATTGTGTGTGCATGAATTGCTCCTTATTGCTGAGTTGTATTCTATTGCATGGCTATGGCACAGCTTATCGCTTCTGTTAATAAACATTTTGGTTATTACCAAAAAAAATAAAAAATAAAGCTGGAGGGACACTGTGGCTCAAGTGGTAGAGTGCTAGCCTTAAGCACAGAGAGTCTCAGGAACAGTGTCCAGGCCCTGAGTTCAAGCCCCAGGACTGGCAAATTAATTAATTAATAATACTGCTGAACATTTAGGTGTGAATTTTGCGGAGGTAGCTTCCTTGGCATCCAAGTCCCTTCCACTCATTTTCTGAAATTAGACTTATCCTGTCCTGTCACTGTTAAAAGAACAACATGTAAAATTTACAAGAAAAGCAAACCAAAAGTATAAAGTGGACAGCTGTGGCATGTACGTCCCCTCGAAGTCACAAGTTCTTTCAGCATGGCCTTTCTAATCTTTTTTTTTGCCGGTCGTGGGGCTTGAACTCTGGGCCTGGGCGCTGTCCCTCAGCTCTTCAGCTCAAGGCGAGCGCTCTACCATTGAGCTACAGCGCCACTTCCGGTTTTCTGGTGGTTTATTGGAGATAGGAGTCTCACAGTCTCTCCTGCCCGGGCTGGCTTTGAACCGCGATCCTCAGATCTCAGCCTCCTGAGTAGCTAGGATTACAGGCATGAGCCACCAGCGCCTTTCTAATCTTGCAAGCGGCCTCTTTCTTGCCCGCCGGGTCCCACCCCAGGCAGGGCCCCCGGTGACCAGGCAGGACGCTGTAACTCACCAGTGCCAGCACGAGGTCCTGCGCGTGGCCAGGCTGCCACCTGCTCCACACCGAAAAGCAGGAAGCAGCCCTCCCCGGGAAGCCCGCGGCGCAGCGCGCGGGAGGCCCCGGCCGCGGCCCCAGGCTGGGCGGGGCAGGTAAACTGCTTGTCTCCGGTGGCCCTCTCTCCCCGGCCTCGCGCGCGCGGCCCGGCGCACCGCCCGGCTCCACCGCCCCACCACACGCCACACACCCAGCATACCGCCAACCCAGGAAGCCGCTTCCCACCGCCCAACCACTACACCCGGGGAAGAGGCTCAGAAACAAAAAAAAACAGCAACCCTATAAACGACTACCAAACCCTTAGCGCGCGACCCACAGTCCCTCCCGCACGGCCCACTCACCAACCACGCGTGCGCGACCGAGAGCTCCGCGAGCAAGCCGCTGAGGGGCGGGGCCTAGGCATGGCCCGCGCACGCGCGGATGAGGGCGGGCCAAGCGGGCCGCCTCCGACTCCGGAGTCCTTCCTGAGACTTCTCCACCAGGTAATATTGCTCGCGGTGGAGGGAAAAAATCAAAAGGTTTTTAATTGGATCCGAGTAAAGATCCAATTATTTTGTACCAAGAGATACATTTTCACAGGTCTTTTGTCTAATCGGACTCAAATAGTGAGGCTTCATATTGATTAGGTTAGGGAAATACCTGTCAAACTGAGTCTTATGGAGCCTTCAGTGAGGAGGGCCCCTAAATATACAGCTTTGCCAACTATCTCGTTTAGCATTGTTAACCGACTCGGCACCACTGCACTTAACACATCGTTAGTGATAGATCGTTTTCCACTCTCCACTTCCTTTTACAAGTTTCATGATCTTCCTGAATTGTGTATATTCTGCAGAGCAGTTTAAACCCTAATGTAAACAAATTCTTCAGCTGCCAAATGAGACGATTCGAGAAGTTTTGTAATTGGATGTACCGTAATTTCTATTTCAAGTAGTTCTTTGAATTGATGACAAGACTATTAAACCAAACATTTCAAAACCTGGTATAACTTAAGCAGGAAACAAAATACACTAAATAAGACAACTCAATTGACACAAATCAAAAACAACCAAAGTTAGGGCTATGTATTTTTTCATAGTGTTCTCCATATGTAACAGACTGCCTTGGCTTGTAATTTACCAGGAAAGTTTATTATGCTACAACAATTCTTTATTTGGAATTGGGGGTGGTCAGAAACACCAGATCCTTTTGAGCTTTCAAAGCTCCACTGCCTTCATGTAAAACAATAGTTACCTTTGCGCAATATGTTTTACTATGTGCTAGTTTTACAATTAGAATGACCACAGATCTTTATACCTCCACCAGTAGTTGCTAACTGTTCAGAAACATGTAATAAATGACTGATATTTTCCCAGGGAAATCTATGCACTATGTATTAGCTTTCATAAACTATAAAAACTTGTGACATTTCAAACATTTGAAGACCTTGTGTTCAACTATATATACATACATATATATATATACACATATATATATATATAGTGAGAGTAGAGCACCAGTGACTCATGCCTGTAATCATAGCTACTCGAGGCTGAGATCTAAGGATCACAGTTCCAGGCAGGTAAATCCTTGTGAGACTATTTCCAATTAACCACAAAAAAGCTGGAAGTGGACTTGTGGTTTAATTGGTATAGCACAAGCCTTGAGCAAACAATTTAGGGACATTGCCCAGACCTTTCAATCTCGAAGACTGCAAATGCACAGGTACACACACATGTACACACTCCCAGAGACACAAAATTTCTTAATTTTTCTTTTTCTACCCTTACAGTAGAATCAAATCTCAAATACATTAAGAAACATTATATATTAATGGCCAAAGTAAAATCAGGTTAAATATTTTCAAAAGGTATTCTCTGAAAACAAAAATTAACACTTTGATGCTGGGTGCCTGTGACTCACACCTGTAGCATCATAGGTCAGAGCTAGCCCAGGCAGGAGAGTCCAGAAGACTCTTCTCCAATTAGTCACCAAAACACTGGATGGAAGTGGAGCTGTTGATCAAATGTTGAGTGCTAGCCTAGCATGGATGAAGTCAAGTTCAATTGCTCAGGATGACATAACAGCAAAGGCTGGAAGTAGCACTGTGGCTCAAGTGGTAGAGTGCTAGCCTTGAGCAAAAGCAGCTCTGGGACAGGGCCCAGGCCCTGAGTCCAAGCCCTAAGACTGACAAAACAACAAACAAAACAAAACAAAACAATGGTCAATGGCCAGGCTCCAAAGTTCAAGTCCAAGTACCAGCATTTAAAAAAAAAAGTGGCACTGTTGCTCAGTGAGAGTGCTAGCTTTGAGCAACGGCTTGGGGACAGTAGCTGGGCTCTAAGTTCAAGTCCCAGGACTTGCAAAAAAAAAAAAATGCTCCATGTGTATAAAATTTAAAATTAAGCAAAGAGCCAAGCACAAATCATGCCTGTACCCCCAAGTTCCAGGCCAGCTGGGGCAAAAGTATGAGGTGCCAGTCTTAAAAAGGCTGAATATGCTTGCACCTGTCATCCTAGCTCCAGCCAAGTGTAAAATAGGAAAATCTTGGTCCAGGTCCAGGTATATGCAAAGGAACAACCAAGACCCTCTCAAAAGAACCAGTGTAAAAAGGGCTGGAGGTTAGGCTTGGGTATGTAGCTCAGTGGTAGAATGCTTACCTAGCATGATGAAACCCTGGGTTTGATTCCTCAATACCACATAAACAGCAAAGGCCAGAAGTGGTGCTATGGCTCAAGAGGTAGAGTGCTAACCTTGAGCAAAAGAAGCTCAGGGACAGTGCCCAGGCTTTGAGTTCAAGCCCCAGGAGAGGCCAAAAAAGGGCTGAAGGTATAACTCAACAGTACAGCTCCTGCCAAGCAATCTTGGGACCCTAAGTTCAAACTCCAGATTGCCAAAAATAAATGAAAGTTAAATAAGGTAGCACAAAGGATGTAAGTTTGTATAGTACACAACACAACAGACAAGGTTATAATCACTTTTTTTTTGGGGGGGGGGGTCCGGTCGTGGGGCCTGAACTCTGGGCCTGGGAGCTGTCCCTCAGCTCTTCAGCTCAAGGCTAGCGCTCTACCACTTGAGCCACAGCGCCACTTCTGGCTTTTTTCTTTGTGCTTATGTGGTGCTGAGGAATCAAACCCAGGGCCTCATGCGTGCAAGGCAAGCGCTCTACCACTGAGCCACATTCCCAGCCCAATCACTTTCCCTAAAAGGTCAAATAGCATTACTCAACCTACTCAATCAATAATCTAGTGACTTCATTCTGAAGCTGTTTCTAAAATGGTAGGCTGAGATGACAAAGCATGTGAACAAATATTTTCTTTCTCAATAATGGGTATTTTATGAAGGCTGTGAGGGTTTTCCCAGAAGGAAATTTTGATTTCATTTGTACAGGTGTGTTTCATTAGAATTTCCCATCCTAGGATAGGAAATGTATTAGCAACATTTCAGTAATAGTCTAGCTAAGTACCCATGAACAAATCACACGTGGTCAAAACAAAAATGTAACAAAAACATTTAGTGAAAAGACATTTAACTCGCATTTATGGATTTTTCAAATACAAATAAATTTTTTATCAATATGATATTCAGCTTAGAACTGGCTCAACACATGGCCTTGATTTCCTGAAATCATATTGTAGCATCTTCTGAAAAATACACTCATCCTTGATCTCAAAAAAAAAAGCTGAAGTCTTAGTGTAAGTTTAAAATTTTAATATTTATAAATTTTAAAAAATTTTTACATGTGCTAAGTGATAGCAGTACTGACATTTTGTGACCATTAAACCACAAACTCAAACTCACTGCATAGTTTCTTTGTACAGAGAGTAAAATCACAATATCAATATTTGCAATTTGCCATTGTTAAATGTTTGTTGTTGCAATTTTGTGGTAAAAGACACCACACCAGGAAACCTGGGCTCAGAGTACACATGAGGTCAGATCTCCTAGAAGGCAGATCAGGCAGATGTGGTATTTTAATTTCAGGTGAGGAAAATTTCACTGCTAGTACATACCTGATAGCTCCTAATGGCTAGAGGTCCAAGGATGCACACAGAAAAAAAGAAATCCTAACATCCCCACTTCTGGAAATGCCTGGGGAGAGGAGAAGAACAAGCCAAGGGGTTTGGGGAAGCAGCTAGTTCATGCTGTGAGCATAACAGGTGTAACTTTTGAGCCCTATCTCCCCATCTGAACTAAGAATCACCACCAAAGCTGACTTATACTCATTCCAGTATTTCTAGAGACGATCACAGAGCTAATGGCCAGTAACAGTTACTTTATCTTCTTCAGGGAAGCAGAATGGAAGCCCCCTATTTAAGCTTCTACCTTTACTGAACCAAATGTACCTTTGGTTACATATGTGATGGGTTCCCATTATCATCCATCAGACATACATCAGTTTTCTTACATCTAAATTAAAATGTGTGACCAGGGCACTTTGAAACAATTTGAGTTTAGCAAATGTCTAATTTGGGCATTTTTCCACTATAGAAAAAGCAATCAAGTTAGAGAACATCCACTTACATTTAAAATAATTTAAAATTGTATTTTATCTTCCAATCATCTATGTGTTGTGTGGGAAAACTTACAGAAAATTAGTGTTTAAACCTTATAACCAAATCAGTTTCTTATTATTCTCTTGTTAAAAAAATAGTAATAATTCTTTAAAACCTCTTAAGTAGAACTGAGGTTCCTTCTGACTTGAAAAGTTAATATTTTATTCAGGAACCAATAAGATAATTACCAATGCTGATCTAAGCCAGCTAACAGAGTAAGGTCCAAAGACTACCACCACTAACAACAGAGGTAGCAGGACAAACTACAAGTATAAGTGTAACAGATAAAAGAACCAAAACTGAAATACTGACCAATTTTTTTTTCTCAACTAAGTACTAATAGAAACAGAACATGGTGATGTTAGAACCATAAATACTTATCATTTTTTGGCAGAAGAAAAGGTTTAATCAAAAAAAGTAAAGGAATTGTTAAGTAATGTTGATCGGAGGATACTGGAATAATTAGATAGTTTACATACAACAAGACTGAATTTGTCGAATTAGT